ATTTAATTTTAGTTAATATCCAGATTTTAGCATTTCAATCAAGAACAATTAAATGATTTCACTAGGATAAATGTGCTCTCATTAATGGTGGATTATCGGCTATAAAACGAGGTCGGATTTTCTCGAAAATCACGTTTTTTTTCGAGGAAATGGGATAAGGAAATAAAAAGGAAAAGCGGCATTGAAAAATGGAGGAAAATGAGGCGATGGAAGGCTATTCTTGGACTTCTCCTTTGGACAAATGGAATAATTTAAAGCGAAAGCACGGGTATCTTCGACGAGAATTTTTATGAATCAGAGATCAGTTAGACTGAACTTTTTCATGGGGGAAACATTGGAAAAATGAATATTCTGAAGTCGTGCTTTGGTTTGGAATGTGCAACATTTTATGTACCGTATTTTCTATTAAGTGAAAAGATCGTAATCAACCAATAACTTTGAAAGCGCATCGCTTGGGTTGAAACATTCCAACAACTCGGATAAACCTCATAGTTTTAAACAATTTCTCTGATAAAAATGCCCGTGGCAAGACATCCCCGATCACCCAGGTGTTCTTTGTGTACAAGCGTAATCGCTCGCGATCTGGCGCACGTCTTTTACTTAACCCCCTCCCTCGATCCGCTCATAAACTTACCTGGCTGGGGGGTTTCTCGTGATCATCAAGACGGGACCCCCATGGTGAGACATGGTCATTGCACTTTTGACTGTGTTGACCTGTGTGGCAGCTCCGAGTTGGGGTTCGCTAACAGCTAAATTTTTGCGTGAGGGGCTGCGTTCGCGCGGCCCTGCCAAACATGTCAACAATTGTAATTTTGTGTAGCAGCCCCACAAATTTATCCATTTTTAACTTCACTGTGCAACGGTTTTGTTTAAAGTGTTTATTTTAATTATCAACCCGCCAATTTTAGTCACACATTACTTGAATTTCTTTAATGGAGACTAAAAATTCAACTTCGTTGGGTTCGTTGGGGCAAGAAAAGGATTCGTTGGGGCTTTTGCTTTCAAAAAAAAACCATATGTTCAAAAGTTCAGTTGTGAGAAAAGGGAAAGAAAAGAATGATGGAAATGAACTTATTATTGTTTCGTTGCACCGTGCAATGTGAAGAATTGTTCGCAAGAAACATATTATTCGAGAAGTCACCCTCAACTGATTATTGGCAGGGCCGCGCGAACGCAGCCCCTCACGCAAAAATTTAGCTGTTAGCGAACCCCAACTCGGAGCTGCCACACAGGTCAACACAGTCAAAAGTGCAATGACCATGTCTCACCATGGGGGTCCCGTCTTGATGATCACGAGAAACCCCCAGCCAGGTAAGTTTATGAGCGGATCGAGGGAGGGGGTTAAGTAAAAGACGTGCGCCAGATCGCGAGCGATTACGTGCATGCACAAAGAACAGCTCGATGGTTGCGATGTCTTGCCACGGGCATTTTTGTCAGAGACATTGTTTCAAACCGTTTCAAACTATGAGGTTGAATACGATTTTCACAAAACTCCATAATTTTCTCCTTAGTTTGCTAATTGTCTAATCAAGTGAAAGGGAAATTTCCCTGACGTGGCTATACGTTTTTAGGCATCAAAGCTCGAGTTCTACAAGTTTGAATAGATTTTTAATCTGTGGATTGGTGCAAGAACAAGTTTTTGACTGTCCAGAGTTATCCAATAACAATCCAATGACTGGTAAGTCCAAAATTTCACTAAATTGTCAACTTACCACAGAATTTGTATTGGTTACCGGACACGCCTCGCCTCTTTTGCCATTGACAATCTAACTTTGAGCTCAAATTTCTTGGTGTTGAGCTTTTCAAATTTAATTTTCTTGGTATCATTGAATGCGCCAAGTCTTTCTCTGTCGATTAATATAAAAATTAAAAACTAATTCACAATAAGAATGGTAATATAATGTTTCGAAAAGTGACTAGCAATAAGATTGTTTAGAAGAATTTCATGAATAACCGAGCAAAGATCTCTGTCATCTCGAGAAATAATCCATTTAGTGTCTCTCAAATTGCCGACGAAAATGGAGTTCTAGTTAGAGTGCCCAATTGTTAAGGCCTCTCAGCTCGTCTCAGTCAATTCTTTCGAAAACAAAATACAGAAAAAAAAAGTGAAAAATAAATCGAGTTAATTCGATAAAATTTAGTTTCTGATCTCATTATCTCTTCATTTTTTTCATTTTTTCATTTTTTTCAGTGAATCCATTCAACCGAAATCCTTTTTTTTTCTAGAAACAATGGGGATTTCACAGAAAAATCTCCAATAAAGAAATTGCTCTGATCGAAAATTGAAAATGGGAATTCGAATTATTTTGAGTAGGGTAATTGTGATGAAATCAATCGAAAGAGAATCTCGGACAAAACAGATTTCTTTGCAAATTTTCTTTGCAGATTTTCTGTTTTACGCCCTACTGCTTTGGTACAAATTTGTGGTACACGTTCGAGTAATTACCGTAGTGTTTATGCTAATTACCATAGAGTTTATAGAGTTTATTCTTCGAGAACACTGGCAACTGGACGAGGTGAAACGGGGCGTCAAAGTTTCACTTCAAAGTAATTATAGCTAATTGCCATAGAGTTTATAGAGTTTATTCTTCGAGAACACTGGCAACTGGACGAGGTGAAATGGGGCGTCAAAGTTTCACTTTAAAGTAGCGTCAAGTGAATTAAATTGAAAAATGTAAAATGTGCTGTAAACGCTGAAACAAGGAAGTTTTTCTGGAAAGATTTTCGACAGCAAAAAGCTGAAAAAAGCTGAAAAATGTTGACACTTTTTGGGTGAGCTTATCGAAGCTGTTTCTGTTGGTGACATTTCAATTTTCTCCTTGCACACGAAAAGCCCAAAATTGCTTAATGTTTGCTCAATTTAGTTTCAGAGAAAACTTAGAGAATGTGTGTATTTTTAAATCAACCAAAGATCTGGTTGAAAGATTTGGCGAATGTAAATTGTTTTGTACAGGATGTTCAATATTTTTCGGGATCAAATAGGTCACTTAAAGTTCGTTTTGTACAAATCTAATGTTAAAAAAGAGACAAGATCAAACACATAGCCTTTAACAAGTTTAAGTCACTTTTTCTTTTCAAAACTATTGCCTTTCGCGTTGATGTTTGTCTAGGAACGCTTGAGGAAAGCTTAGCTTGAGGAGAGCTTAGCTTGAGGATAGCTTAGCTTGTGGAAGGCTTAGCTTGTGGAAAGCTTAGCTTGTGGAGAACGTAGCTTGCTTGTGGAGAACGTAGCTTGCTTGTGGAGAACGTAGCTTGCTTGTGGAGAACGTAGCTTGCTTGTGGAGAACGTAGCTTGCTTGTGGAGAACGTAGCTTGCTTGTGGAGAACGTAGCTTGCTTGTGGAGAACTTAGCTTGCTTGTGGAGAACTTAGCTTGCTTGTGGAGAACTTAGCTTGCTTGTGGAAAGCTTAGCTTGCTTGTGGAGAGCTTAGTTTGCTTGTGGAGAGCTTAGCTTGCTTGTGGAGAGCTTAGCTTGTGGAAAGTCGGATCAATTGAGTTTATCACAAACTTATCTTGTTTTCTTGAAAGAATCAAAACTGAAATATGTTTCAATTACAATTTTGTGTCATACTGATGTGTTAATGAAGAATTTTTGTATTCTTTGTAATAAAGCTAATTTATAGTTAGATTTTAGTTAAGAAAAACAGCAAGAACCATTACAAAAGGTCCCTTTGCAAAATTTTTGTTCAAAAAAGTCATTTGGTGGGGTGCTCAGTTTTGAGTCGACGAAGATGAAATTGAGGAAAAGGAGGAGAAAAAGAAAAACAAGAAAGGGAATCTCATTTTCTTTCAACAACCCCTAAACGGGGAAAAGAAATTGAGGGGAAAACAAGGTAAAGAGAATGAGTCCAAGAACTCTTTTTAGACATAGAGAATTCCCTCATAATAGAGGCACCTAACATACAGCTGTAACTGAATGTAACTTAACTTGTTACTGCTTGTAAAATCCCATAGTAATACCGTACCTCCGATAGATGTATTAGACTTTCATTTATACAGTACTGGACAATGAAATATCATATTAGAAAAACGATCGTCACTTTCGCGCGTCTGTAACTCCCTTGTCTTTGAGTTTAAACTATTAGTGTTATACATTTTCTGAAAGCTCTTTTCAAGCTCTACACAATGGCAATATTAATATTTAGAAATACGGTAAAGACAAGGGAGTTACAGACGCGCGAAAGTGCGAAAGTGTTTTTTCAAATATGATATTTCGTTGTCCAGTAGTGTAGTTTGAAAAACTAACTACTTATCTGGACACTTTTTAGTATGATTTTTACTATGTTATGGCTAGAATTACTATAATATTACAATAGATAATGAAAACTAATTAACAGTACTGGACAATGAACAGTACTGAACAATGAACAGTACTGGACCATGAACAGTACTGGACAATGAACAGTACTGGACAATGAACAGTACTGGACAATGAACAGTACTGGACAATGAACAGTACTGGACAATGAACAGTACTGGACAATGAAATATCATGTATTTGAAAAACGATCGTCACTTTAGCGCGTCTGTAACTCCCTTGTCTTTGAGTTTAAACTATTAGTGTGATACATTTTCTGAAAGCTCTTTTCAAGGGCTACACAATGGTAATATTAATATTTAGAAATACGGTAAAGACAAGGGAGTTACAGACGCGCGAAAGTGACGATCGCTTTTCAAATATAATATTTCATTGTCCAGTAGTGTATATTTAAAAACTAACCAAAGTCACACTCGACTTGTCCTTTACACCCGCGAACATCTTGTGGTCCACCATTTTCGAGCGTTCGCCCGGACCATGACGGTAGTAAAACTGAAATTCATTTATATCTGTCTTTCTTTTTCTGTCTCTTTCTTTTCTTTTATCTGTCTTTTTATCTTGATTACTTAAATCTTTTTAATTTTCCATCCAGAATTTTGTTGTTTGAGAGGTTTGAATGGTGAAATAAAGCGATAAAATATCTTTTATCGGTTCAATTTTTGCATATTCAGAATCATATTCAATGCTATTATATTTTACGACGTTTTTGATATCGCTGAATTTGACTCTATCACAAGTGACTGAAACGCATAAAATATCGGTGATTATCTTTGGAGCAACGCGTTTCGAAGATGCCATTCATTCGGTGGCGGTAAGCTTTTGAAACATTATAAAAAAATACCGACTGGGGCTACCAGTGGTGAATTTATCGCATACACGAAATATATCAATCACAATACAACGACACACACAATACTAGGCTATATCTTAACTTAACCCACGTCATGACAGACGGCTCCCTAACCCTAAGCTCAATGGGGAACTAAATAGCTTTTTTGGTGGTGAAGGGAAGATGACGATGAAGGAGTGGCTTGTCACTTTAAAGAACTGGGGCCACAACCACCAGACTGCCCTCCAGAAAACCTCTCAACCCGAAGGGAAAGGAAATCCGAAGGGGGTGACCATGTCGCATGTGGGGTTCGAACCCTCGACCTTCCGATTAAGATAAAAGACACTTAACCAGTCAGCCACACGTGCTCATTATGCTGTAAAGTTTCCTAAAAATTGTATCCAAGAAAAAGTTACATTAATTAGCAGTCAAATTACAAAGTTATGCTGCATCTTAACTATAATATTAACTATTGAATATCACAAGCAAATGAACGATGGTTCAATCCTAGTTTAGCTCGAGGCTTGGACTTAGTGCCAAGGCTAGCGGCTAGCGCCTAGCACTAAGTCTATTTGGGTTTGGGCTGAACCCCCATTTTTTGGGGGGTTCAGCCCAAACCCCCGTTCCCAGAGCTAAGGTGCAAGCTTTTGGTGTTGTGCTTGCGCCCCCCATAGGAGGATCCTGGCAAATTTTCAGGTTTAGGCTTAGGCTTAGGCTCGAGTACAGTACAAAAGTGAGAAGCTCGAGTACAGTACAAAACAATAACTTTTTAAGCACACTTTTCACCTTTCAGCCAACGTGTTTCACTTATTTTTTGTTTATTTTTCTTCAAATTCATCTTCTTTAGAGTGTCTTCGAAGAAGTCTTTGGATCAGATCATTTTACGATCGGTGCCACTGAGTTTAGACCCGAATTTATTGATGCCAAAGTGCTCAAGGGAGAGAAGTTTTTTTGTCTCATTAAGCAAAAATGAAGTTTACTCTTTAGTGAAACGAATCAACTCGAGTTGGCTGCCGAAACGATCTGTAAACGGGTGATCAATGGATCGATTGCGGCCGTGATTTATCGAATCGGACAAGCACCCACCACACATCAGGTCAGTGATAAAGAGATTGAAGATAGAGATAAACTTGCCACAAGCTCACCAGCCATACTTGTAATACTAGTAACGGATCAACAAAAAGATTCATCAATTTGGAGCAGACCAGACCAGTTTTGAAGAATGTCTCTAATGTAAATGCCCGTGGCAAGACATCCCCGAGCACCCAGATGTTCTTTGTGCGCGGGAGTAATCGCTTTCGATCTGGCGCAAGTCTTTTGGTTAACCCCCTCCCTCGAACCGCTCATAAACTTACCTGGCTGGGGGGTTTCTCGTGATCATCAAGACGGGACCCCCATGGTGAGACATGGTCATTGCACTTTTGACTGTGTTGACCTGTGTGGCAGCTCCGAGTTGGGGTTCGCTAACAGCTAAATTTTTGCGTGAGGGGCTGCGTTCGCGCGGCCCTGCCAATACAGCTCTAAGGCGATCCCCAAGAGGGGTGCCCCGTGAACGCAAGTTGTTTTAGACGTCAATTCAATTAGACTGTTTCCCCGAACGTTTCTTCCCAACCATTGCGTTTTCAAAGTTACTAGTTGATTATTATATCTTGTATAACATTGCTAGTGCTAGACTAATTGGAAAGCGTTAATGTTCCTGTTCTCCGATGCGGAACAAAGTTTTCAGGATTACCTCTCGCTCGTCGCAACGACGGCTTTCTCGTTGGGACTCTATCAGGTGCCGGTTGTTGCGGGAATGGTTCGCGATGAGAAATTTGGCAAAAAGGTATCTAACACCCCCATAATATATCATTTGATTTTAAAATTTGAGCTAGTCTACCCAACTTTTGTCCGACCTACTCCATCTTTCGGCGATGAAGCCCATGTGTTTCTTCAGCTTTTAGAAAAACTTAACTATCGGCAGGTGGTGAAGCTAAATATCAAATATCAAATCAAATAAAGAATAAATACCGTAAATCCTGTAATTGGACCCCACCCCCATAATGACGGTGCGGAGTGTTGCGTGGTCTAGCTTTGAACGAGTTTTTCTTGACACTGGTTTATGCTACAATGCGCGCTTAGGTATCAAAAAATAGCCCTAAATTTCAGCTATTTTTTTGATACCAAAGATGCATTTTTTGAAAGTACGGGCGCTTTGAAAAAAATGAAATACTAAAAAACTTTTGTGACTACGCGACTGTACGAGGGCGGTGGGCGACTATTACAGTATTTACGGTAAGTGTGTTATCAAATAAGTGTTAGTACGAAGTATCTTAAAAGTTTAGGTGAGCTTACTGTATGTGAAGGGCGATCGAAACGGGGTTGCTTTCTATCGAATCTTTCGCTCTCGACGAAAAGAATTTAAAGTGCATGTAAGTGACAAGGAAGTTGAAAAGTTTAAAAAACACATTTTCTTCAAAAGCTCAATATCTAATATCTGGCTTAGGTTCAATCTTATGTGGAACTCGAGTTGAATGACGAGTTGAACAACACGATTGCCGAGAGTTTCGAGGAGATCACATCGAATATTATTGTCCTATTTGCAAGGTGATTTTTAGAGTTCTCTAATCTAGAAATTCTAGATTGATTAGAAGTTCTAGATTTAAATATTGTAAAAATTTGTACGTCCATCTTTGTTTTCCATTCAGAAGATCGGATGCCACCGTAATCTTTTCCGCTTGCCCACAATTGACGTCGGGTGGAAAGCTTTGGCTGATGAATGAGGAGGCGATGAAAGCAACGAATGCGCCATTTGGTATGAAACTGAATATGAGTCGAATGGCCTTGATGTTTGATTGGAATGATGTTGCCCTTGATCTTTGATTTTCCTTACAATTAGCATCACAAAGGGTCAATAATTGCATTTAGCTCGGCAGCTACGGAGTACGAATACTCTGTCGTATAGTCGACTCTCGATTAACCATTCTCAGGACGAAAAATTTCGATTTAACAAATTTAACAATTCTAAAAAGTACCCCAAACTTCTTGCGTAGCTGCCCCAAACGGCCAACGACTGCGTTTGGTTGGGCAGCTACGCAGAAATCTGAATGGCCAATGATTGAGTTTAGCTGGGCAGCTACGGAGAAACCAATTCCAAAAGAAATTTCTTCCGTAGTTGCCCCAAACGGCCAACGATTGCGTTTAGCTGGGCAGCTACGCAGAAATCAAGAGCATGTTTTAGAATTTCAGAATCGTTGACAAAGACGATACGTCGTTGTTAGTACTGCGATGTACAGTCGGTGCTCTCACTTTGCGGTCATTTTACTTGTACTCAACAATAGTTTTTCGAAAGTTTTTTTTTATAGCATCGTGTAGCTCAATTGAAGGGCTACATTTTGATACCAGACTCGTACAAAGCGAAGGCTCTGCTAAATGGCAATTCCATTCGGCGCAATTCTCGTTTTTGAACACCGGCGCAATTTTCATGGTCCCTTTACAGGGTGATTAAAAGTGCACTTGTAAATGATTCAATTTCTAAATGAAAGCTATTGGGATGGTGGAAATAAAACCAGCGCTCATACATCTTTCGAAGAATAAAAAGATTGCAAGTCTCAGCCAATTAGTCTCAGCCTTGTATACTGTTCGAAAGCCCTGAATCTTTTCTACAAAATAATGCAAAAAGATTTTGAATTTGATTGATTATTGGGGACTTGGGTGTTAAAAAGTAACCGCAGACTCAGCTCGAGTCTCAACCTGAGCACCTGCATCTGCTGGCAACTATCGCTTCCACGGATCTTTTCACTTGAAATTTTTCCAGTATCTTAAGGGTCTACATTACTCAATACCAAAACCAAAAAACCAGCATAGATTCGATCGAGATATGAGAATTTAAAGTTGAAAATAGCCGTTGAAAGATTTTTCATTTGAGAACAGCCTCAAATAGATGAGCGCTATGACAGTTTGCCTCCAGCGTACTAAAATGTTTTTTTGGAGAGTTAGGTGACTCTGATGAGGATGGTTTAAGTGTAGAAATGCTCCCCAGAAGCTTTCAGCTTCAAAATACTATATAGTATTGGGTTGGGGAGAATGAGTCGGCGCCGAAAATCAAAAAAATGTCTAAAACTTCTATTCGACTTCGTCAAATAATATGCGTTTGATATCAGTAGAATGGTTAACTAATTCTCTACAAAATGACATTTAAAAGAAAATTCAAACAGCGCCTCCGCTCAAGAAAAAGCCATTTTTTCACAAAAACTCCAAACTGTCATCTAGAAAAAACCATTGGTGGGATCTTCCTGCAAATTTGGCAACTTAAGTAATTGAATGTGCTCTATCTTTTTTATATAAACACCAAAGAAGGTTTACGTGAAAGAAACTGTTCAAATGATGAGTCGGACTCTTTGCCATTGTAACCAGCTGCCTTTGGAAGTTCATAAACTCCACGAAAGAAAAGCTTTGTGGAATCTCTCAAAAGTGATTTTGTAGAGAAATAGTGGATCCTTTTGATGAAACCAAACGTATGTTTAAAGAAGGCTTTATGTGTGCAAAAAGTCCCTTTAAAGTTCGGCGCTGACTCATTCTCCCCAACCCAATAAATTGAATTTCGATCTGGGTTTTAGCTGAAAAATCGAGGTTCTTTTGTAAAGTGTGCTTTTTGGGAAGTGGGAACTTTTTGATCATCCTGTATCTCTAGGCTTGATCTCATCTCGACTCACACAAACACCCAGCGAGACGCTAAGAGATTCATTCGCTACCATACGGGTGAGTGATCTTTAAGATTTGCATAGTTTAGATCATTTTTGATGATACTGTTGAAATGCAAAGCTTATACACCTTCAGTTTGGCCTAGAAGCGATGGGTAAAGGAGCCGAAGGCTTGAAGCCGCCAACAACGTGTGAGCGCGACGCAAATCCGAAAGCTGTCGATGTTTGGCCCACCATTCAAGCTCCAATACTTTATAAGTAATCTTGAAAGTCTTCTAAAATTTCTCAACTTTCAGACAAATCTGCTCTGGTGGCACATCTCGACTTTTCTTTAATTCGGTTTGCGCGAGAGAAGGAGTTGACTATGATTTGATTAATAAACGGCCTGATGGAGCGAGATATGTTGGAAATCTGGTAGCTTCAAATCTTGAGAAGGATTAAAGAATAAAGAATAAAGAATAAAGAATAAAGTGTTTTAAAATCAAAATCAAAATGTCTAGACCTACGAGACTTTACGAATCGATGAGGGATTGATTTACTGGCCGGGCGGGGAAAGGAAACTACTTGAGATCACTTTGCCGAGAGAGTTGAGGTTGGTGATGATGATTTGAATTTCTACGAAATCTTTCATTGTCTTTACAAGTTTCTTTACGATTCTCCATATTTTACAAGAGATTCTCCATTCCATATTTCTCCATTTTACAGATCTCTAGATTTTTCTTGAACTTTAAATCATTTTTGGCTTTCCAGAGTAGTGACAACCGATGATCCACCATTTGTGTACACCCTGAAAGTCTTAAATGGGTCGATGTGTGAGAAAATGACAAGAGAAGAGGTCAATATGATTGGAGGGGATTCCATTTTCATTGTAAGATTATATATATATATATTTTGATTAGTTTTCCAAAGTTTGCTTAAAAGAATTCGTTATTCGATTCAGAATTCAACACCAATTTCGGATTTGCTTTCCGTTTCTGCTTAGCATTCTGTCAAAAGTTATAAGCATCCAAAGTTTTCCAAAAGGCTGCCGTAGGTTCTGTACTCTTTCAACTACAAGAATTTGTCTTTTGAGAGTTTCACTCTTACGGTAGCTTTGCTTTTCTACTGACAACAGAATGTTAACTAGGTAAATGGCCAAATGACATTCGGTTATTCGATTCAGAATTCAACGCCGATTTCGGATTTGCTTTCCGTTTCTGCTTAGCACTCTGTCCGTTTCTTTGCTTTCCGTTTCTGCTTAGCATCTTGTCCGTTTCTGTCAAAAGTTCTAAGCATCCAAAGTTTTGTATGGGATTTGAAACAAAGAACAATCAACTTTAGAAATTCAAAAGAAAAGGACACGGACTCGAACTAGAGAGTGTCAACGAGAGAGTTTGATTTTGATTCATCCAATCATCCAATCAAGTGTCTCCTCGATTCTCGTGATGTGGCTGATTCATTGCTGCAGAGAAATGACTGGTTGTGTCACATCAAATGCGTCAAATGCAGCTTACATTGAACCCACTGCCACTTGGCCATCTCTCTCGAAGTCTCTGGGAAGTCTGCACCTAAAATCGATGATTTTTAAAATCCTATACAATGGCTTATACCTTTGACATATTGCTATGGAGAAACGGAAAGCAAATTCGAAATCGGCGTTGAATTCTGCTTCGAATAAGCCGTAGCACATGTTGATACCATATCCAGTTGACATTCGCTTGTGAGTTAAGCAAAAATAAATCAATTATGATCTTAAGAAGATTTGCTGAAGGAAATCGTTTTGGCGCCTTCTAGAAAACAGCTTAAAGCAAAGAGAACATAGTTTGATGGCTTTGTAGCACTGAAAATTCCAGGACGGCCCATGGTACCCTTGCCCAAAAGCACTGCCAAATGGTCAAAAAGAGCATTACTGTTGTGCTGGTTATGCGATCGATTTACTCTCGAACATGTCACTTCCCGAGGTTAGCTCGTCACATCTTTTTAACTCCTACTTTGAGTACTGAAATCATGAAGGAAGTTCAGGAGGGAAGCTCTCTAGACACATCTTTCTTTTTCTCACTTCATCTGAATGATTCGTATGGAATGGTGACAGCTGATCCGATTGATGGAGTCATACTAACGGGAGCTTTGGGAGAACTCGTCACTGATCTTGCTGATATGGCTGTTGGTTTGTTTTTGGACTATATACTATGTACTAGACATGGGCAGCGGCGGGTCGGGTCGGGTCGGATCGGGTCGGATCAAAAGTGACCCGCTGACCCGGCCCGCGACCCGGCTGTTTTCCCGGATGACCCGCTGACCCGGCCCGTGACCCGGCTGTTTTCCCGGATGACCCGCTGACCCGGCCCGCGACCCGGATGTTTTCCCGGATGACCCGCTGACCCGGCCGGCGACCCGGCTGTTTTCCCGGATGACCCGCTGACCCGACCCGTGACCCGGCTTTTTTCCCGGATGACCCGCTGACCCGACCGTGCCCGGCTTTTTCCCGGATGCCCGCTGCCGGCCCGCGACCCGGCTTTTCCCGGATGACCCGCTGACCCGGCCCGCGACCCGGCTGTTTTCCCGGATGACCCGCTGACCCGGCCCGCGACCCGGCTGTTTTCCCGGATGACCCGCTGACCCGGCCCGCGACCCGGCTGTTTTCCCGGATGACCCGCTGACCCGGCCCGCGACCCGGGTGTTTTCCCGGATGACCCGCTGACCCGGCCGGCGACCCGGCTTTGTTGGACTAAGTACTAAGTACATAGTATGTACTATGTACTCTAAAAGATTATTGTTTCGAAATTCGAAATACTCAGTCGAAGAGTTTCAATGAGTTTACGGTTAATTCATTGTCGTAGTTTTGTCTTAAAATAGAGTCTTTCGATTTTTTCTGAAAGACAACGATTTTCAAAAACTACCTTAATCAAACCGGTTTTCATTTGATAAGCTCAATCTTGAGGAATTCGATGAGAATCGAAATCGAATTCCTCAAGATTTCTATTCTCATCGAATTCCTCATCGATATTCGATGAGAAATCGCGACTCAGGCAATCTCAAAATTGAATTCGATTGAATTGATTCAATTAAAATGCTGGCATTTCGATTACGATAGTTTTTTTGAAAGTATCTACCTTTTAAAAAACGGATTAGCAAAAAGGAATTTTTAAAATTTGTATTCTTCGAGTTGAAATCTTTTTCTTGTCAGGTGGTATGACGATCAACCCGGAACGTGAGCGTTTCATCGATTTCTCCGAACCGTGGCTCTATCACGGGATTCGAGTGATGGAGAAATCGGTAGCTCTTAAAGCTTAAAGATTAAAAGTAATTGACTCATTCGAATTAGATCCCAAAAGATTCGCCGATGGAATCCTTTCTGCAACCGATGAAGAACTCGCTCTGGGGCGCGCTTCTCATCTCGGTGATCCTCGTCGGATGCGTCATATTTGTCCTCGATTTCAAGAGCCCCTTTGATCGATTTTATAAAGTACTAAAAAATAATTGTAATATTTTTAAACAATGAAACAGGTGGATACATCAACGCTTGATCCGAGAGATCCATTTCTGCAAAGAGCGCCCGACGATCGGGTCGATTTCGGTGAAGCGATGTGGTTTGTTTGGGGAGTGTTGCTCAATTCGGGAGTCTCCGAAAGTTTGTTTTCCAAAGAGACGAAAGCTTTAAGGATTTACGTTTTAAACGCCTAAAGAAACTGTGGAAGTCTTTTTACTTTTCAATAAACTGGTCGTATAGTTGACTAGTATCAGTCTACAGTTGACCAGTATAGGTCTATAGTTGACCAGTATAGGTCTATAGTTGACCAATATCAATGCTCTCAAGGGTATTCAATGTTTATTGGGAACAATAAATCACTAAGTTTAAAGCTCGTTTTGTACAAATCTAATGTTAAAAAAGAAACAAACAGATCAAGCGCCTATACTTTAACAAGTTTCGGTTAATTTTACCAATCAAACTAGCCTACCAAAACCTACAAACCAACAAACAAACAAGCTTTGCGCGGGTCAATCGATCTGCCTCGATAGCCTAGTGGATAGTGTGCCAGGTTCAGATGGTGAGATTTCTTGGTTCAGATGGTGTGACTAAGCCAGGCACAGACTAGCAATAAGATCAACTCCTCATAGTCCCGTAATGTTAATAAATTTCCCACTATTGGAAACGACGAATTTCAGAGACGCCTCGTTCCTGTTCGGCGCGGGTTCTCGGGATTGTTTGGTGCGGTTTCTGTATGATCATCGTTGCTTCCTATACAGCCAACTTGGCCGCTTTCCTTGTTTTAGATCAACCGGAAAAGGGCCTAACTGGAATCACTGATCCAAGAGTGAGAAAAATTAGTTTTTGTATTGATGTTACCAACACTTTAGCTCCGAAACCCATCGACAAACTTCTCGGCGGCTACAGTGCTGAATTCGAACGTCTATCAATACTTTAAGGTACACGATTTTAAAGGTGAATTACAAATTTTCTTAAGCGTCACGTGGAGTTGTCGACAATGTTCCGAAAAATGGAGAAACACAATGTGGATAAGCCGAGCGATGCAATCAAGGCTTTGTTGAATGGGTCAGAGGATTCGCTGACTTTGAACTGACTTTGTACTGACTTTGAACTGACTTTGAACTGACTTTGAAATGATTCATGAGAAAACGATCTTACTAGGGAATGACGCCAACTTATGTCGGCCTTTTTGAAGTCGACCTTTAGCTTATCTGATAGAGTTTTGAACGGTGATTTGAAATCTGATTTTAGTTTCACTAATTGAGCCCTGTATCGCGAGTTATCTCTCAAAGAAGTTTAGGTCGCATTTTCAGAGCTAATATAAGCCAATATAGGCCTTCTTACTTCTCCGTGAGTTTAACGAAGCGGCGGTGTAGGGAATAGTGCGCCAGCGCTGGGCGCTCTTTGGTCCTGGTTCGACTCCACTAAGCGTCGACTCCTAGCTTTTTTTGTCACACTTAAGACTTTAAGCATTCTACGATTTTAAGCATATTATAGTTACCGTATTTTCTCTAATAGTATCGAAAACATGGTTGGTCAAGAGTTGGTTAGATTTCGTCTTGAAAAACTCTAGCTACAATACTCGAGAGTGCTTTAATCATTGATACCGTATTTTCTCTAATAGTAGTGCACCCAGAGCTTCGCCTAAATTGCTCGAAATCTCGAGAACCGCTTATCAGAACCTATCGATGTGAGGCCGGAAAATGTAGCTGTTGTTTCAGCTAAAACAAGCCAGTCATTAGGCTTAAAAATTGAGAATATTCTGGCAATTTTGTTTCAGTTTTAGATTTTCAAGTTTCAATTTTCATTTTAATTTTCATATTTCAGCTTGAACGTTATTTGTTTAGTACACTGGATGCGTTCATCTGGGACTCAAGCCGATTGGAGTTTGAGGCGTCGAGGTATTGCTCGTTGAGGTGAGGAAATACTCAAATTTTCCTCGATTTTTGATCTTTTTGATGTAAGAAAGCGGAGAAGAAAGAAATTTCGATTGAACAATTTTCTATTGAACAATTTCTACTGAACAATTTTCTATTGAACTATTGGATTTTATAGAACTCGAGGCACGCTTTTCGGTCGATCCGCCTACGGGATCGGCTTGCAACGAAATAGCCCGTGGACCCAGCACATCACAGCCGCGATTTTGCGAATGACTGAGAGTGAGTACTTTTGCAAAAGTTTACAGCGAAATAGCCTTTCTAGAAAGTTTTCTCAAAAACTTTTTTAGGTGGACAAATGGAGAATCTTGGCAACAAATGGATCTCTTCGCCGACTTCTTGTCCGGTCGAGGTTCAAAAGACGCCGGCTAGATTGGGTACATTTCTTTCGAAATCTAATTTATCTTATCTTATCATTTGCAAATTCTTAAATAGAATGAGCTTTAAAATGAGCTTTAAACTGAGCTTTAAAATTAGCTTTAAAATTTCAGGTTTAACAAATATGCGAGATGTGTTTGTTTTGGTTTCGGTCGGCGTTTTGATCGGCATTTTCTTTAGCTTTATTGAAGTGATTTACGGGAGAAAAAAGGCTGCGTATGGGTGAGTTGGAAAGGGTTCAATTTTCACAAATTTTCACAAATTACAATGTAAACACTTACAATTAAACAAAATTAATAAAATAACAAACAAACAAACAAATGAAATTAACGAAATATCCGTTTACACTTGGTATTCGAACAATCTGAAAGTTGACCGCAAAGTATACCCACAACTTTTTGGAAAAGTATCTGGGAAATGCCTAACCTATTTTAGAATTGTCAAGTGTTATATAGAGCATTGTAGCCCTAATTCTTGGCTACATTTATCTATCAAAAACTTTCCAATTCGACTCGTACAACTCATTTTACAAGCGCTTGAATGAGCGCTAGTGTCCGCTAGTGTCTCTCCAACCAATCTGTCATTTGGCCGCTTTTCTTTATTAAAAATTGTTAAAAAAAGCTTTTCAATATTTCTTTAATACAAAAATAGCGTTTAACATCACTTAATAACATTCAGAATCACAGTTAACTGTTTTGGTTCAACTGGCATAACCAAAATTTAAGTTAATGTCAAGCTCCTTTCGGAGGAGCAGAGAAAAAGGTGACAATTGAGTTCAGCTATTGAGTTCAACTGTTCTGGCGCTAGAAATTTGTTGAAAACAATTTTTTCGAAGAAAATTCCCACAAATTTCACTGAAAAAAAACTTTTCCGAATGAAATTTTTAAAGTGGAAAAGCGGTTAAATGACAGATTCGCTAGAGAGATGTCGATGTCATTCAAGCGCTTTTTAAAAAATTCTATACGTCGAATCGGAAAGTTTTTGATAGGTAAATGTAGCCAAGATTAAGGGCTACAATTCTCTATATAACACTTGACACTTTTGAAATAGATTAGACATTTCCCCAGGTACTTTTCCAAAAAACGTTGTCACTATACTTTGCCTGTATATTGATGTAAGATTATCTTTTCATTCCATAAAAAGTTCTAGGCGAAAAATGGAGATTGCGAAACGCTACGTGGCGAAATGGCAGAGAATCACCAAAAACCGAAATCATCGGTAATAAAGCTACAAAATGGAAAAATTTGCATCATTGCATCAATTTGCAAACTTCTCTGTTGATTTTCTAAAAAAATTTTTTGAAAAACTAACTACCGTATTTTCTCTAATAGTAGCGAGCCGAGTTGATGACTATTTTACGGTTTCTAAGTTTTCGCAGAAGTTAAACACTCAAATCCCCCACAAGATCTCATCGTCAGCTACATTTTCCGATCCCACATCGATAGGTTCTGATAAGCGGTTCTCGAGATTTCGAGCAATTTAGGCGGCGCTCTGGGTGCACTACGATTAGAGAAAATACGGTATTATGAAAGTTAAAATTAACTACAAAACCTTTAAATATCGAATTTTCTTCTCACAACCCCTCTTATCCCGTAGATGACTTTATTTTTCCTTTTTTCTCATCAGATTGTTACAATTGAGGCAGTTACGCACTTTCCATAGCAATCCCCAATCTTCTAGCCATTCGTCCAAAGTCAACGTCAGATTTTGCGGCAATTTTTGAGCCATTCTTTCAAATAGATTAAACACTTAAATCTATCTATTTACTGCAACGAAACCCGTCATAAATAAATAAAGTAAGTAAGTAAAGTAAAGTAAAGAAAAAACATCAAAAGAAACCCGGTAAAAATCGCGTGAAAATCAATTTACTTAAATGCAAATTGATGTAATTATGGAAATTTAGAAGCACTCATAGCACTAAGCTCTTTTCAGATACCCAAAACGATATTCTTTGTTTCGGCCGGTGATCCGAAAAGGATTCGCTGGTAAAGAAGCTTTACCGTTAGATGTGAGTTAATGAATGAAAAAAAAACACGTACAGGAATGTACAGGAATGCCGGCGAAGGATGATCGCCAAACGGTCACGAATCCCGCCAGTCGATGTGCATCTCGACACCGACTTTGCGCCAGTCTATCGTTTTGGGAGACGCCCGGTGATCACGTTTTGTAGTCGATGTCGAGTAAGTGAATTCATGATCGAAGTGATCATCGTACGCTAACTTTTCAGAAATTTATTCAATCTGTATTCTTTTGATGTCATTGTCATTTACGTGATGTCATTATCATCTACGTGATGTCATTGTCATTTACGTGATGTCATTGTCATTTACATGATGTCATTGTCATCTACGTGATGTCATTGTCATTATCATTGACCAAATCATGCAAAATGGATAGATCTATGAAAAGTATAGTCAAAAGTACGTTGTACACGAATGAGCTTTTGGGGAAATAATATGGAATCTGGAATCCGGAATCCGGAATCCTCGGATCGGACTTTTACTCCAGTTATCTTTTACGAGTCAGGGTAAAATTCGATTCTTAATCTTTTCCGATTCGATAAGAGCTTCCGATGACTAAGAAATCTAACAGAAATCAACGTTTAGAACCTTGTCGAAACAGAAGTCCACCAAGAAGCCGGCGCAATGTCCGTCTGTCTTTGCGTTCTCCTTTCTCTTGTTTTCCTTTGGCCTTGTGCTCCACTTCCTTGTTTTCTCGCAATCTGTGCTGATTTCACACATTTTTGCCCATTCTGTGCACACGAAATCGCGAAATTTCGCCGTGGTCGCTCAACTCGGGTCTTTATTTGAAATCGAATCAATTTTTGGTGTACTTTGTGACGCACTTAACCTTCTCTAAAAGTTGAGTATGCCAGAAGGAATGTGTTTCGATTTTTGCTGTACTTTGTGATGCGCTTAACCTTCTCTAAAAATTGAGTACGCCAGAAGGGATGTGTTTCCATTTTTAAAGCGCAAATTTCAACTAAATTATTTCAACTTTCAACTAAATCTGTCCATTTCAAAGGCGCTTTTGCTTTTTATAAACTTTTATATGGTTTTCTTTTATACAAATCTTTTTCATAAAGCATAAATAAGTTACCGTATTTCCTTTTTGTTGCTAGAAAACATTTCCAATCACAGTAAACGGTGAAGAAAACAAAGCTCAGTGGAATTTCAAAATTTGTATCAAACAGAGACAAAGAGATCCCGTAACAGTCAGCACAATGATTGGTGGGTTGAATGGAGAAAAGGATGGAGAAAATGATGAAGAAAAAGATTAAATTCGTATTATATAAAGTGAAAAAAAAATCACCAAACCACACACCGCTTTGGTGGATTCATTTTGGCGTCAGGAGGGCAGCTGAAAGCATGCGAGAACTCGGGCTGATTCTGGAAAAAAAAAGATGTATTAATGATTGAATAGATTTACATTTATTCACACGAATAATATGATACAATGTTTTCCATTCTATTATAGATAACCCAACATTCTATTATAGATATTATAGAAACTATTATTTAGATAACCAGTTGGACGTCCGCAGCCGCACGGTTATTCGACCTAGAGGTACTGAGGGCACCTAGCACAAATCTGATTACAGATTTGGATTCCTCACCCCCGAAAACCCCTGAGTACAAATTTTCAGCTTTCTAGCTCACTTCGTTGTAATTTTACGTTAACGTCATTTGTATTATCGCGTAGGCGTGACGAACGGACGTTTTATTTTTGTATATAGTAGATGGCTTTCTATGTTATGTATACAAAAGTAAAAGCTTTTCGAAAACTGTCGTTCTTGAGCTCTCAAGGGACCTAGAACTTCTATAAGCTTTTCTATAAGCTTTTAAGGACAATTTGAAGTTTTTTGAACGTTTTAAATACTAAGTAAGTAAGTAAGTAAGTAAGTATCATTTTTGCGTACCTGCAGGACAACATTCACTCGGAACATCCCCGGCGCGTGTGGATCCGTCAAAATCAGCCGAACTGTTGCCTCTGGGGTCATCTTGTTACACCATGTCTAAAATAAAGAACTATTACAAAAGTAATCTTTTTCCCAGACCTAGGGTTAGGCCAGAAGCCAGGTCTTGCCCAGAGTAAGACCTGAATTCTGGTGGTGCCTTTGCCAGACCAGCAGTAAAGCCAGACCAGAAGCCAGATGATGGCCGCTGGCTGAAGCCAGCCAGATCAGACTCTGGACTTTGTCTGGTACACTACCATAACAAGAGCTGGACACGCCGATCCTTTTATGGGGGCTGGAGGACATGGTCGGCACCGGGATTCGAACCCGCGACCGCTCACCGGCTGAAGGCTTTTCCAATGAGCTACACCGACGTATCCCATTGCCGCCAAGATAGAGCTTTATGCATTATTTAAGGTTACAGTTTTTGACAAAAATGACATAGTTTAGAAGTTTCGAAGGCTTCAATCTCACCTGTGCATATCCAATGAAGAACATTTGATCATTTGTGTACTTTTCGAGCCCCGGGATCGTTGCCTCAGCCCCATTCTTCTCCAGATATCTTTTGTAGGCCTTGAAAAGAATGGATTTATATTATTTATCTTAAATCATTCTTATACTTGACTCTTATTTCTCTTAAAAGCTTCTTAATAGCTTCTCACCTTGTACGCTTGTTTGACTCCTCCATTGTCGGCGATATTCTCTCCTTGGGTGAGCTTTCCGTTCAAATGGAGACCACTCGTCCCAGGCACAATTTGAGCTGCGTACTAAATTCGAGAATATTCTGCTTATTGATTTTGAGCTTGATCTTGAGCTTGAATCTTGATTTGAACTTAGATTCTCATCTTATAAATTTCACAAACTTGATCAATGATGCACTGTGTTCGTTCCTCGAATTTCTCCCGTGTTGCCCCGTCCCACCAATTCTTCAAATTACCGTCCTTGTCGAATTGAGATCCTGAAGATTCTTTTCATTCTTTTCATTCTTTAAAGGTTGATTAAAGGTGTTTAAAGGTGTTTAAAGGTGTTTAAAGGTGTTGCTGGAGGAACTGCTGCACTTGAGCGAAGATCAAAGTGAGCAAGAGGAAGAATTTGAGATTAACAACTTATTTTTATTGTGCTTGTGCTTGTGCTTTTTATTTTGTTTTTGAATTTATCTGCAATTAAAACTCAATCGATCTAGACTGTGCTGAGGTGTCTGATAAGTGACGATCTTGTTTTTCTCAAGTGACAATCTTGTCATTCTCAAGTGACAATCTTGTTTTTCTCCAAGCCTTGCAGCGCCTCCAAAAATTAGTAAACCCATCAAATCACTCTAGCCGGGTGATTTTTATTTTTTTTATAATAAAATCAGCGATATTAAAATCAAAAAGCAGTTGGTTCCCGTCAAAAAGATTTTTTATGGTCACCCGGCCGCGATTAATACTCCCTTTAAAGATATTTAAAAGATATTTAAAGATATTTAAAGATAAAGATATTTTAAAGATTTAAAATGCAATTTAGCATTGTGAGGTGTCGGTGATTCTTTTCTAAAACTTGCCCACCTTGATCATCGAATCCATGAGTGATCTCATGTCCAATCACGGCTCCGATTCCTCCATAGTTTAACGATCTGAAGATTTTAGGTTTTAGGAATTGTAGCTTCAAAAATTACTTGGGAAATTCAGCATCAAAGAATGGAGCTTGAAGGATACCGGCTGGGAACACTGTAAAGGAATACTGATTTAGAAAGACGGGGATTTTCATAAACTTTTTGATTTCTATTTTAATTTTTAATACACTTTTTTGATTTCTTTTCACTTGGGAATGCAAAAAAAAAGAATTATTTCACATAAACAGAGCAGAAATTGCATTTAAAACCCACTTTGATCAGAAGAAAACGACAAAAACCCCAGGCTTTACCCAGGCTACTTGTCGCTTTTGCAGTTTGCAAGTTTGCCAGTCGCAGAAGCGTTAAATGTCAATGTCAACTTTATAAGTTAAAGTATTCAAAAGTTAAAGTATTTTTTTTTGAAAAGAAACTCACTGATCGCATTTTTAATCGACGAGTAGAAAGCGTTGACAACGGCCGCGTTCGTGCTGAACTCGTCGCGTTTCACCGGCTCCAAGAGGCTAAACGTGTACATGATTACTGTAGACTACTGTAGATTACTGTAGATTACTGTCTAGAGATAATATCTGATCCAAGCCCCACTCACCGATTGTAGGCGAAATTGATTCCCCATCGAATGCTCTTCTCAACCATTTGCGAGTAGGTATCCGTGTCCTCGACGTTGAGCTAAAAATTTAGGGTTTATCTATAAGAAATTATAAGAATTATCTTCTAGTTACAGTATTTTTTTTTGAGTTTTTTATAATATCTTTTAAGAATTTACATCTCTGAACCAATTGTCGAGCTCCTCGTCATCCAAAATGAAATCTGGGTAACCGATGAGACGAAGCATTGCTGACGCTTTCTCTTGAGCCACCTAAATTTTGGTTTTTAAAGGAATAGATATTTTTAGTCTTTTAGACTTTTAGATACCTTATTTTCTTAAAATTCTAATTTTTTATAAACCTTTTTCGTCCCCTGATCCATCCAATCGTTCTGAACGAGCATCGCCGAGAAAGCCTCTTGCAAATCGTCGATCATATCCATCGTCGTTTTCTTGGCCTCCTTGATTAGTTATTATTAGTTATTATTAGTTATTATATTATATATATACCGTAAATACTGTAATTAGACCCCAGCCCCATAATGACGCTGCTGAGTGCTGCGTAGCCTAGCTTTGAACGAGGTTTTTCTCGGCACTGGTTTATGCTACAATGCGCGCTTAGGTATCAAAAAATAGCCCTGAATTTCAGCTATTTTTTCATACCAAAGACGCATTTTTTGAAAGTACGGGCGCTTTGAAAAAAATGAATTACTAAAAAACTTTTGCGACTACGCGACTGTACGAGGGCGGTGGGCGACTATTACAGTATTTACGATAGTTATAATAGTTATACTATAGATATTTTGATAGCAAAGCTAGTCGGATATAGCTATCATAGCAAATCAAAATCGAATCTCAAAATGAAACCTTGTTGAAGAAATTCCGAACATACAACGAGCCGGCAGCGTAGGCCATTCTGAAATTTGGGTTTACCTTGAATTTCAACTCATTTAAAGCACCAACACTATTGAAAGCCTATTAATAGACAGATCTAATATTCAAATTCAAAACGATCAAGAACGAATTACCGTATTTTCTCTAATAGTAGTGCACCCCGGCGAGCCGAGTTGGTGACTATTTGACGGCTTCCAAAGTTTTCCCAGAAGCTCAACACTCAAATCCTCCACTAGATCTCATCGTCAGCTACATTTTCCGACATCGATAGGTTCTGATAAGTGGTTCTCGAGATTTCGAGGAATTTAGGCGACGCTCAGGGTGCACTACTATTAGAGAAAATACGGTATTTGAGAGAATACGGCGGCCGGTATTACGGTACTTGTCGTGGGATACCGTACTTGCGTCTAGACGTTGGGCACTGTACGTGAAACTTTCTTTAGTTTTGTAGTGAGTCTTGTAGCATACCGGATTCTCTCTAATAGTAGTGTACCCCGGCGAGCCGAGTTGGTGACTATTTGACGGTTTCCAAGCTTTTGCAGAAGCTCAACACTCAAATCCTCCACTAGATCTCATCGTCAGCGACATTTTTCCAATACCCCACATCAATAGGTTCTGATAAGCGGTTCTCGAGATTTCGAGTAATTTAGGCGACGCTCAGGGTGCACTACTATTAGAGGAAATACGGTATATATTTTTATGCCCATGGGAACACTTTTTTTGATTCAGTTCCGGTTCTGAGGCGATTTTTGCGCCGCTCAGTTCAGTTCAATTTCCAGATCCCGGTTCTGATTTCAGCTAATTGTAATATTGTAATTAAGTAAAGTAGGGAATGCCGAAGAAAGATTTCCGGAAAGAACATTAAACCCTTGACCTTCCCAGAAATCTTTCTTTTACCATTTCGGGCAGGATGCTAACCATTGAGCTATTCGGTATCTTCTTGACGGAGAAGAAAAAGGAAATATAAGGGGGAAGAGAAAGGAAGAAAGAGAAGAAAGTTTAACCAAAATCGAGCCGATTCTCGTATCTATGATACCTGTTTGTCGTAGCCGATGAGCAATCTTTCCATCTTGGCGATTTCGATTTCTTTCCGATGAGATCACGAACGAAATCCTGAAATGTTTTTTGGTAGTAGATCAAAAACTTGTTTTGAGTTTTCAGGAGAAGATTTCCAAGACTTTAACGATCCAAACTTACTTGATAGATATCCTCGTATCGCTTTCCAATTTGCATACTCCAAGCCGACGTGTACCTAAACGTTTCTCTATATAAATCTTTAGTTTGATTAATTTTATCGAAATTTCCCCCATTCCTACCGATAGATGATGTAATTGGTGATGATTTTTGGATCCGTTTCTTTCAAAAGTTCGGTGAGACGACGCAAATAGTTGACTTCAGTAATCACTATCTGAAAAATGATTTGATTAACATTTTTAAACGCTATTCAGTTAAACGTTCAGCTTTTCAAAGTAATTTCAAATTTCAAACTCACCTCAGGATTTCCCTTCAAATAATTGTGAGTAGAGAAAGGCATCACCGAGAGAAAATAACGATCCCAGTCAACCTAAAGAAATAAATCCAATTATCTTACTTTAATTATACAATTTATATCACGATAATTACGGTAAAATAAAATAAGTTTACTGTTAGATTACCGTAACCAACTGATCGTCGATTTTTCACCCCCAGAATTGGCCTAACTACAGTACACATGAGTGTTACTACCGAACATTATGAGTACTCATAGATGTACACATGTGTACTCCTAGATGTACTCATGTGTACTCATAGATGTACTCATGTGTACTCATAGATGTACTCATGTGTACTCCTAGATGTACTCATGTGTATTCATAGATGTACACATGTGTACTCAGAGATGTACTCATATGTACTCAGAGATGTACTCATGTGTACTCATAGATGTACTCATGTGTACTCCTAGATGTACTCATGTGTACTCATAGATGTACACATGTGTACTCATAGATGTACTCATGTGTACTCATAGTGTTCGGTCTTATGCTCTATTTCAAATTGATTCTAAACCTCAATTCTTAAACCTTTTCACTTACAATCGGCATATACTTGGAGAGCTCAGAAAGTCGTGAGAGAAAATAGAGTTCCGTGAAATTTCGCCTATCCTCCTCTGGGACGGTGATCTTAGCGAATTTGCGCTCGAATTCAAACATTTCATCGATATCTTTCTGGAAATTCGCTATTTTAAAGAGCTGTATTTCCATTATAAGATGATAATAATATGTGATTCATTCTACTTTTCTTAAATACCGAAATTTGCTCTTCATTTGGCACAAGTCCCGCGTCCTCAGTGATCAGTTTCACTTTCAATTTCATGTATTTCAAATAAGCGGACACCTGAAAAGAACTTAAATTTAGAGAAATTGAAAGAAGATTGAAAGAAAGATCAAAAATCAAATCAAATTTCTATTTGCTTACCTGTTTAGCGTACTTTTTAATGTCCATATAGTAGGATCGTGATCCTGAACCCAATCCCAAACCGCCTTGATCGAACTGTAAATTTAAATCGAATATTTTACTCGAATTAGAACAGCTTCAATAGAAGAAAATTTAAGAGGAGAATTGAAAAATAGAAGAGCATCGATCTTTTAAAGTACGGTAATGCAGATTGAGTGTCTGAATATCTGAATATCCTACAGAACCCAATATCGTACCTCAAATATCATACAAGGGTACTTAAGCTACAGCATGATACCCTCAGCACCTCTATTGCAGCTACAATACCCTCACTATTAATCGCTAGACATAGGAAAATTCCATCCCGAACCAAATTCCACCTTTATTTTCCACCTTTATTTTCGCAGCCGTTTCTTGGCCAATTGCTCTGAAATTTTGTCTACAGATAGAAATCGAGATTTTCATATTGTAAACAAAATTTCAGAGCAATCGGTCAAGAGGTGGCTGAGAAAACGAAGGTGGAATTAGGTTCGGGATGGAATTTCCTCATGTCTAGTACCCAGCACTTTGATAACATCAACGCAATACACAAGTATCGCACAGACACTAGGCATACTGTAGTTATTATAGTCTTTTATTTGTTATAACTTATTAGTTCACTAACCGACAAAAGCCTTCTTGAGACGTTTTTCGTGTCCGTTGACGCGTAAATGTCCACGAAGACATCGATGCCTCGAGTCTGAACAAAGAGAAATAAAAGATCATAAAGAGAAATTAGAAGTTTACTATAGAAATAAAGATCTAGTTTTTATCTAAAGTTAAAAGCAGTAATAAGTCAAACCTGAGCAACATTTATAAGTAAAGTGGTCAAATCGAAATCCTCGCGTTCCCATAGTGATCCATGAACCATTGGCCAGTAGCCGAGTGACTAAAGAGATCAATTTAAATTTTGTTCCCTATCTCTCTAAATTTGGTTCCCTATAGTTTTTTGTTCGGCAATATAGGCTAAAAACAAGTTAAAAAAAAAAAACTGAATATCATTTCTTCTAGCTTTCCATACTCGAATCGAATCGACGAGTTCTTTTGTTCCTTTCTCTTCAATTGTTTCTTCATCCATGCAAGCTGTGTAGAATTTCTTCAGCGTATTGATTGATTTAGCCGTGTGCCTTGTCGGTGCTTCGTAGAGGTCTAAAAGGTTGGAAAATAAGTGAGATATAAGTATAAATATAATAATTATTTACTAGACTTAAAATACTTCCTCCAGGTGTACCACTTTTAGACGACCGCTTTTAGATCTCAATTTTAGATTTGTTTGATCGGTTTTAGATCTTTGTTTGATCGGTTTTGGCCGTTTTTTTGAAATGTCCCTTTATAAATGAATAATTAGCCGATCAATGTGTGGTTTTTTTAAAATAAAAAACATTAACTATTACATTTAGCTCTTTTTACGCAAATTTAAATCCGTTTTGAAGCAAATCCGAACAAGAATTCTTGTTTTTTTTCCTAAAATCTTTGCAACGAACATAGAATGAAATCGGAAGAAACAATTTCTCGGAAAATTTGTCTATCTGTGATTCTTTCTTGAGGTATCTATTTATCTTTTGGATGTGTTTTGAGTGGTGTCCCGGGTAATTATTGTGATTTTGTTTTGTCGCTATTCAACTGAATAAAGCACATATATATATAAATTATATCTAAGTTTTAATTCTCTATCTTTTATCTTTTAACATCAAAATCGCTTTCTATGCTAAAAAGTGCTCAAATTGGAACTTTAAAAAAGCGGACAAGAAAAAAGTTTCATCATTTTTAAGCTTCACTCCAAAGCTTCCCTCCAAAGCTTCACTCCAAAGCTCCCAAGCTTCACCCAAAGCTCCCTCCAAAGCCACTCCAAGCCCAAAGTCACCCAAAGCTTCACTCCAAAGCTTCACCCAAAGCTTCACCCAAAGCTCACTCAAAGCTTCACTCCAAAGCTTCACTCCAAAGCTTCACTCCAAAGCTTCACTCCAAAGCTTCACTCCAAAGCTTCACTCCAAAGCTTCACTCCAAAGCTTCACTCCAAAGCTTCACTCCAAAGCTTCACTCCAAAGCTTCACCCCAAAGCTTCACCCAAAGCTTCACTCCAAAGCTTCACTCCAAAGCTTCACTTCACACCTTTAAAAAAATCAATTAACGGGAGCTTTTCAGAATTTCTTAAAGCCCAATTTGTAAATAAATAATAAAACGTTCTGATAAAAGAAACCATAGATCGATTGGTTCATTATTCATTTCAAAAATTAAAAGTTTAAAAAAAGCGGACAAGCCTTTCCGACAAAACCCAATAAAAGTTCTGTTGAATGTTCTGTTTTCAGGTCTTTAAGTGAGTCTCCGTTGCTGAATCATTGTTCGCTAAATTTTGCTCATTATTCGAACATTGCAAACCTTTCATCTGTGCCTGCACTTTCTCTCGTAGTTCGGTGAAATGCGAGTAAGCGGTGAGATCATCAGGGATCTCGTTGGCTGCAACCCAGCCACCGCATGCGAACTCGAAAAAGTTCTCGCACGGATCCACCTAGGTATTTGCATTTGTTTACTAAATTTCAATATCTATTTAAATATTTATTTCAATATTTATTTCAATATTTATTTAAATATCTATCTAAATATCTAATCTAAATATCTATTTAAATATCTAATCTAAATATCTATCTAAATATCTATGTAAATATTTATTTCAATATCTATTTAAATATCTATCTAAATATCTATGTAAATATCTAATCTAAATATGTATCTAAATATGTATCTAAATATCCATTCAAATATCTATTTCAATATCTGTGTAAATATCTAATCTAAATATCTATCTAAATATCATATTCTATGTCAAACCGATTCATTTAGTGCCACTCGGAGTAGCTTGGACGCCTTGGCGAAGCCGGTCGACTTTGCGGGTTTTGCCGCGTCTGGCACCAGGTTCAGATCTCTGGAAAGGATCAATTAGCTTTACAGCACGTAAATCATCACTGTATATATCTAAATATCTTTTCAGCTTTATGGTAATTTACTTAATAGCTTAATAGAAATGAATCACCTGCTTAATGGACCTATTCGTGGGCCGGCGAGCGAAACTGGTAACAACAGAAGAGCCACCCAAGCTTTCATTCTATAAATTCCAAAAAGTTAGAGTCATTGTTTAAATCTATCTCTAAATCAAAATCAAATATGAATAAATATTGCTAAAAAGATTTAAAGAGAATGATTTATTTGCGAAAGAATAATTAGAGGAAAACCCAAAAGAAAAGCTGTCAATGTCAATGTCAATCTTTTGGTTAAACTCTCGTTTCGTTTAGATAAAATATTAGTTTTATTTTTAGAAAGTGAATAAATCGTTTTAGAAGATCGTAAAGACAAGAGTCTTTCTTTGAATATTCAGGCAAAAATTTTGTGATCACTGAAAAGGGAAAAATCAGAGATTGGTGGCAATCAGGGAAAGACAATCAGAAATTGGGAGCCTCGTGACACGAATTTCGCCTCTTTTTCATCCAAAAGAAATGCCAACAATAAGAAATTTTACACAAAAATTGACCGGAAATCGGCTAAATTAAGTAAGAAAAGTTTTGTTCTTTTGTGGAAAAGGCATCTTTTTTTTTTTGGAGAATTGCTTGTTGACGACCCGCATGAGTGACCCTTTTCTCTCTCTCTCTCTCATTTAGATTCTACTGATAAGAATGATGCCGACTTTGTGTGCTTGTGCTTGTGCTTACAAACGCACATTTTCTGGCATACTGAAGTCTTTGTTTTGACGAGATATAAGCAGATTAATGAGAAATTAAAAACCGAATATGCTAGAGAGTTTGGAGGAAAACAAAGGCTCGGCTAGGCTATGAAGCAAAGCTGGCTGTGAAGAAGCTTTAAGCTATTTCTATTTCTATTTCTAAGTTAACTATTTCAGAAAATACCGTAATCAAGCTGCTCGTTGGCATTTAATCAGCTAGATTTCGATATTATTCGATAAGAAACTACAGGGATCATGCAATGATAACAAAATTGAGCTGATCAAATGTAAATTGGTGGTTTGATTACGTTACTTTTACACAATTGAATATGTCCATTCCTTCCGGCTAATGTGCTTTCTAAAAAACATCTATAACCTATAATCACTATAATCCAACCACCAGTTTCATTCGATCAGCTTAATCGGCCATTTTTGATCAACTTAATCAGCTTAATTTCGATATTATTCGATTAGGAATCACAAGGCACAGCCAATGATAGCGAAATTGAACTGATCAAATGTAAATTGAGCTGGTTTGATTACGTTAGTTTTGCACAATTGAGTGTCCATTCCTTCCGGCTAATGTGCTTTCTAAAAAACATCTATAACCTATAATCACTATAATCCAACCACCAGTTTCATTCGATCAGCTTAATAAGCCATTTAATCAGCTAAGTTTTGATATTGTTCGATGAGGACTCACAAGGCACAGCCAATGATATCAAAATTGAGCTGATCAAATGTAAATTGGGCTGGTTTGATTACGTTAGTTTTTTTTTTCGTTAGCTTTTTTAAACTCTTAAAAACATAGGTGTCAATTTCCTTAAACTTCTTGAAGAGTTGAAGATTTCAAAGCAAGAGAGTAATGAAAAAAGGAACAAAACGTTTTCAAAACAAAAACCACTCAAACAATTACTGTGGAATATAACTAAAATAGAAAGTAAAAGCAAAAGATTTGAAAAAAAGTTAACTGATCCAAATTAGCTTTACAGGTTTACTCAAGAAAAAATAAGTAAAGAGAAAGAACAAGAAAAGAACAAGATCTGCTACACAAATTTAGCATCATCTCAATTCTATTCTCAATTCTATTCTCAAAGAAGGCTATGAAGCAGGCTATGAAGCAGGCTATGAAGCAGGCTATGAAGCAGGCTATGAAGCAGGCTATGAAGCAGGCTATGAAGCAGGCTATGAAGCAGGATATGAAGCAGGCTATGAAGCAGGCTATGAAGCAGGCTATGAAGCAGGATATGAAGCAGGATATGAAGCAGGATATGAAGCAGGCTATGAAGTAGGCTATGAAGTAGGCTATGAAGCAGGCTATGAAGCAGGCTATGAAGCAGGCTATGAAGCAAAGCTGGCTGTGAAGAAGCTTTAAACTATTTCTATCTCTTTCTAAGTTAGCTATTTCAGAAAATACCGTAATCAAGCAGCTAGTTAGCATTTAATCAGCTAGATTTCGATCTTATTCGATAAGAAACTACAGGGATCATGCAATGATATCAAAATTGAGCTGATCAAATGAAAACTACCGGTTTAAGTACAGTAGTTTTCTCAAAAAGATCCTTAGAAAACGCAGGAATACACTCTAAACCTTTTTTTTTCACCTTTAGCGCTTTTTTTTTCAAAACCAATTTAACATAATTTATCAAAGCTTTTAACTCAAAAGTTTTATTAAAAAAGAATGAACGGAGTTATTCAGTCAAATATTTGCCTCTCTTAGTAACAAAATAATCATCAAATTCTTCAGGAAATGAAAAAAGCAAACTTAAAAAAGCAAACAAACAAACAGAAATGTTTCTAATATTTCTATTCCTAATAAACTCTCAAATCAATTCTTCAAAATCGAATACCAAACGAATACCAAACAAACAAGGTTTCCCAAACTTGAGGCTTTATATTCATGAAAGAGATCTCGTGAAATCGGCTCAATCTCCAGTAGAAAAGGATTTGTATTAAAAGAGATCAAAAAACTTCTCTACATACCGGTTCAATAGAAGTAAATCTCTAAAGAGAATCTCTAAAGAGAATCTCTAAAGAGATCCCTAAAGAGATTTACTAAAATCTCTAAAGAGATTTACTAGGAACGAGATTTTTAAGCTTTCTTTTCTTCATTGTCAGACTATTTTTAGGTAAAAACCCATTAACTTTATGCTTTTTTTTTTCAGTTATTGTGTGAGACGAATAGACCATGAAAAGGAAAAAAACTTCAAGTAAAGCAAGAGTGTTTTTTTACAAAAAATGATCCTTTTACATTTTTTTAAGTGTAAAAGAAATCCCAAAAGCCTTTCTCTTTTCTCTTTTTTCAAGGATTATTTTTAAGGATGCTTTTAAAGATGTTTATTATCGAATTGTTTAAAAATGAATAAAATTAGAGAAGAATTTTTCTGAAAGAAACTTTTAAAAAAAATCGAGTAAAGATCTGAAATAGTTGTCTAATCTATTTTATGTTTAGCATGTTTTCGACAAATATTTTTCCTGTGTGGTGTTCGTGAGTGTAGATCACTCAAAAAAGAAAGAAGAAGGAGAAAGAAGGAGAATGAAGAAGAATGAAGAAGAATGAAGAAGAAAGAAGAAGATGAAAGAAGAAAGAAGAAGAAGAAAGAAGAAGAAAAGGAGGGGAAACCCTCAGGGTGATCTCAAAGAGAAAGAGATGAGAATGACAAGCGTTTAGATGAGAGAAATGTGAAAAGGGACAGTCAATTGTCACAGAAACAAATCACTTTCCTCTTTTTGTTCTTTAGAATTATTTGAAGAGTGTTTCGCAAAGTACTCATTTTGGTGTCAATTTTGTTGAGAACCTTTTTTTGGGTACTTTTTTGAGTACCAACTACAAGGGGACACCGATTTGTACATTGTATTGTACATTGAGGCACATTGTATTGTAGGCCAGATTGTATACTTGAAACTAGACATGCTTTTCGAGTTTGTTGGAAATTTTGTTTTCCGAACTTTAAATATATGAATGTCAGTTGGAATGTATTGAAATTTTCAAATGATTTGAGGAAAATGATTACCGAGTGGTTTATTTGATCGTTAATTCCTTCGAAAAGCTTTTCTCTCAAAAGAAATGCCTCAATCAAAAAGAAAAATTTGAAAAATCTTTACTTTACTTCAACCTCTTAAGTTATAGACCATTTAAGTGGATGGACCCTTTAAACTAGGTAGTCGAACTTTGACCGGAATTTTCTCTATGTTTTTACATTAAAGTTTACTAAGTAAGTTGTAGTTTTTATAACGGAATTTCATAAGGAACATTTGAAGACCAACCACAAGTCGATTCACCAATTAGAAGCCGAGATATGGGGGAAAAGAGAGGAGTTGTTAGACCTCAATAGATTTATTGGGGTATCATGACGATACCCCTATAAATGCAATACACTTCTCTCGGCTTTGACCCTACTTTTCTCTATGTTTTGATCGGTAAGTCTACAAAACCAATTCTATATTTCTTCCATCAAATTTCATGTATATTCTAATAAAAGTAACCTTGAGTTGATTCAACTTTTACCTCTTAAGTTATAGACCATTTAAGTGGATGGACCCTTTCAGCTCGGTCGTCGAACTTTGACCGGAATTTTCTCTATGTTTTTACATTAGTGTGTAGTAAATAAATTGTGGATTTTTATAACGAAATTTCATAAGGAACATTTTAAGACCAACCACAAGTCGATTCGACAATCAGAAGTCGAGATATGGGAGAAAAGAGAAGAGTTGTTATACCCCAATAAATTTATTGGGGTATCATGACTATACCCCTATAAATCATGACGATACCACTATAAATGACGATACCCCTTATTTTTAAATATTTAAATTGAAATCTAAAGATACTAATGGGTATTAAAATTGAAAGCAAAATGTAAATCATTGAATTCAAATGGAAAATTTCATAATATTAAACATTTAAACTTTAGATTCCCTTTGAAAAACTCTTTTAAAACACTTTAAAAACTCTTTAAAACAAAATAATAAAAGAAAATGTGAACAAAAATATAAATAAGATTATTATCAATGATATACAAGACTTCTAGCGATCAAGAATTTGTTGAGAACAAATCCGTTCAGAACAAAATTCAGATCTCAACTCTATCAGATGAACAATGGTGTGAAAGATGTCTGGAGGGGAATCGAATGAAAAGAGACTGTTGATTGGGTGAGGCCATTGTTGACAGAGTGCTCGTTTTTGATTTCACACAAGAGATGTCCTGAAGAGACTGAAGACCAAGTCCTGAAGAGACTGAAGACTGTGGGTCGAATCGAAGAGATCCAAAAGATGTCAAGCACTCCCCGAACACTCTCCAACACGACCCCATCGCTTTCCTAAACACTCTCAGGACGATTCTCTTTGAAATTTCCAGATTTAGGCTCGTTAACAGGGACTGACCAT